ATTGTATCTTATTTTGAACGCCCTTGAATCTTCTTCGGAGTCGCTGCTCAGGGACGTCGAATTGGCGCGCTGTTTTCGCGATATTAGGGAATTCGGCTTCGTTTAATGCGTAAATAGCATCATTGATTCTATCCTCAATTTCTTGATAGGATTCGGCCATTTTTCGTTGAATGGGAGCGCGTTTTGTGTGGCCGTACGAATAATTGAAAAAATCTATCGTTGCGCTGCGTTCTATCGTTGCGCTGCGGTGCACTAAGCTGCAAAGCTTAGTGCAACTGAAAGTGCACGGTTAGTGTCATTTCATTGCAAGATTCATTATGCGTCCATCATGTGAAAGGCGACACTCATTAGAGAGTTTTACTCAAGACTAAGAGATCTTGAAAGCGGCTGCTAGCGCTCTTAAATTTCGGGACGTACGACTAAATAGCTTGGGCCGGAAATCACGCCTAGTCGAGTGATATGGGTCGCCAGTGGAGTGATATGCTGGCTCTATCAGTTTTCCTCAAGGGATAACTTTGATCATTAATGCCTGTCGTATCACCGCCAAGTCAGAAGTTTCAGAATTCACGAAGGTACAGGGTACCCTGTCTTGATCTATTGACTTCCACCTTACTTTTCTAAGATCAGAAGTTGAAAAGGTAATTGACTTTCTAATCGCAAGTAGCTACAGAAATTATATGGCTAAATCGATGACGTGTTGGTGGTTAGGCTGAGTAGTCAAGTACGGTCACGTGCAGACACCATCATCTACTACGTACAATGACATCAGGCATGTACTAGTAATGTCAGTAGCGCACTAGATCTTTCGTTCTACGCGAGAAACGGTGGCTTCAAGCGTACGAAATCTGGTCAATTGAGATGCGTATCCACAGGGCTATGCGCTAGCTGGCTTGGGGACCTACCGACAAAGTTACTTACGCCTGATACTTACCAGGCGAAGGGGTAGCTAAAGAGATGAGCTACGTGCCGTTAGTGGAAATGACAGTTACTCTACCAAATGACCACCCTACTAATATCGTGGCGGCCCTACCATGCATGCGTTTCGCGAACTCTCATCCGTCTCGTCGTGGCAACTGTTGATCATCCTTTCTTTCTGCTCAATATGCCGCCGTTGGCCGCCTCGGTTGGCCGCCGCCGCTGTTGTTCTTCTTGTCGTCACTCCCTGCCCTCCAGGCCGAAGCTGAATCCTCAGGCGATTCAAGCGGCCAGCAGAAATCATGGGCCATCAATTGCTCTTTCTCGTGCTAGTTGTGACTTATGCGGCTACCGCCGCAACCCAAACTCCGCCACACGCGTCGAGTTCGAACCCCACGGTGTCCATGGGGGAAGGGTTCCGGTCTCCCACTGTATCCTACTCATCGGGTAGAGATGCCATCTGCGTTGCCGGCTTGATCCCCGTCCCTGTTGTCGCTACCAACATCAGGCAGTTGCTCTCGGCGCCGACAGATCAACCCAGCACGACCGAGTTCATCCAAGAGCTGCTCCAAGCCGGCTCCACCCTTGTGCAAAGATCCAATGGAGGCAGTTTTACAGTCGCGGACACTTTTCGCATTAGCGCGCGACTGTGCTACCCTTCAAACCTGACTTCCGCTGCAAAAGTTCAGACAATTCAGCTACTCACTCATGGTGTCGGCCTAGATCAGTCATACTGGGACATTGCGCCCGGCTTCAGCTACGTCGATGCATCTGCGCGGGCGGGCTACGCGACTCTTTCCTACGACCGTCTCGGGGTCGGGCAGTCGGACCATCCGGACCCGGTCCAGGTCGTGCAGGCTTTTACCGACGTGGAGATCGAGCATGGACTGGTACAGATCCTCCGGATGGGCGGACTGGCTAAGAAAGCGTTCAGAAATGTCCTAGGAGTGGGCCACTCATTCGGTTCTATCGTCAAGATAGGCACGACAGCGAAATATCCAGAGGACTTTGATGCCGTCATCCTGACCGGTTTCGCCAACGCGCTGCAAAACCTTCCGTATACCATCCTAGCCAACAACCCCTCTCTGGCAAGACTGAACCATCCGGCCCGGTTTGGCACTCTGCCAAACGGATACCTCGTGCATGCAACGCCCACAGCGATCCAGCTTCCTTTTTTCCGATATCCATTCTTCGACCAACGAGGTAACTACATTGCCACCTAACCCCCCTTCCGCTCCCAATTAAACCCCAGCCCCACTAACCCAAGTTCCCTCTAATATAGTCTTCGACTCCCAAGTCTCCCGCAAACAAACCTACGCAGTTGGCCAACTCCTCACCCTCCCCGCCATCCTTGGCCCATCCCGCTTCTACACTAACCCCCTCTTCGTCCTCATCGGCCGGAATGACTTCCCCTTCTGCCTCGGCGACTGCACCATCCCAAACGACCTTGCCGCCGCGGTCCAACCAGCTCTGTACCCTGCCGCCGACGTGGCGAGATCAGGGAGCTTCATCGTGGAAAACTGTGGGCACAATATTAATGCGCATTTCGCTGCCTCGGAGGCATTTGAAAGGATGATTAGATTTTTGGACGGAGTTGGGATTTAGGAGAAGCTGGGGAACTACGCGATTTCTGCTAAGAGATCATGGGGAGTGTAACACTATTGATTTACCGGGGTCCATTTTCCTACCATGTATACTTACCACAGACGACAGGCAGGCAGTGTACAAAACGGTAGAAATTGTCTTAGCGCATAGATATCCCCTGCTTACCAGGAGGAGGCCCTCTTAAAGTAATGCTAGGGGAGCCATCAAAGTGCACTTAGACTCAGCCTGACCGTAAGATTGCTTAGAGTTACTACGTATGATAGTCAACATATATCTTAAAGTAAGGTTATTATTTATCTTGAGTGTTGAGATATCGTAATCAGTAACTTATGACAGTTGGGTACGTTACCGATCAAAATGTGGTCCAAGTGCGCTCGGGCTGTGGTCGCCTGAAAACACACTGCTGCCTACGTAGTAGATCCGTGTTAGATCCGTGTCTGGGGTGAACCTCCTGGTTGGGCTGGAGCTGGGGCTGGGGCTGGGGCGAGCGAGAGCGGCATCACCCTAGACCTACATCGGCCGTGAGTCCAGGGCAGATTTTCCCATTCCTTAACAGATCGACGTTTGACGATGAACATCCAATAAGGAGCAGATGGCCAGAGCAGATAAAAATCTATCCAAGACTCATTGCAGAACCAGGACTACATCGTTGGAGTCCTGATTTCGTTGACGACTCTGCTAGATATCTTATTTCAGGTGCTAATGGCCACTATCAGCACACCACGCACCCAGTCACCCACACCACAGCGTGTTCAATCCCCGACGATCACCTTTTCACCATCTAGTACTCCGTCTTCTTCAGTACGTCCTTCCGTCGACATTCCGCGACTTGATACGCGGTCGACGTCTCCTGCGCCTGCCAATGCATCTCAGCGCCGGAACAGAGCAGCGCTGCGGGACTATTACAACCTGAAGTCCAGAGCCCCCCCTCCTCAACAGAACCTGTCTAGAGCGGCATCCATTACTAGCGCAACAAGCAATGGCACTGCGTCCACTCTTGCCGCACTCGAAGACTATCCACTATCCCCGACTTTCAGGTCGCAGCTAGATGAAGAAAATTTTGATGCCGAAACCTATGTCCAAGAACTGCTGAAGTCCTCAAACCTCAGAACGGTGCTTAAAGCAGAAGGATCACTGGTGTCAGAGATTAAGAATCTCGATGGCGAACGGAAAGCTCTTGTCTATGATAACTACAGCAAGCTAATCACAGCTACTCAAACCATCGGCACAATGCGGAGAAGCATGGACGAGGCCGGAGGGGGAAGTCTTCAAACTACTAGCATGCTGGGGCCAGCAGTCGATGCCGTGGCTAAATCCGTTGCAGAGTTGAGCAGAGGAATTGGTGGCAGGGATGTCAGCCAAGAACGAGAACGAAAGGCTGCTGTGAGGGAAGAGAGATCCAAGCGCGAGACAGTGAGATGGGTGCTTGGCACGCCTGCCAGGTTGCGGGCCAGTTTGGAGGTGGGAGATCGAGGCGCAGCAGAAGCTGACTGGAAAGAGGTGCAGGGACTTCTCGGAAAATGGAAAGACGTTCGAGGATCGGCTGAGCTGAAGGCAGCTTGTGAAGAGGTCATGTCGCCAACACTACCAGATGGGGATTCAGCTGGTTGACGTCCTATTGTGAAGTATCAGACGGAAACCCACCTGACCTGGACTATTCGTACTATCAAGGACGATATCTGGCATCACCACTCATCCAGCCGGGCTCGGACAATCTTAATTACCCGAAACCGAATTCAGGCACGCACACGAGTCGTGTCCAAGATCTCCACCACAACCATACCCTCGTTCGGTAGAGATCCTACCAAACAAAAGGGAGAGCCGAGTGTGGCTCGCTATCAAGAATAGACCGCAAATCCCTATCTTCGCTTCAGGCTTATGTGTTGTGTGCATGCCACACGCATCCGTGCTACGAGGTCCCAAGTAAGCAATTGCTGAGCCGCGGAAAGATTAATTGGAGATGATGCAGAGACTTCAACACCAAAACCTATCTCCTGCTTTCGAATATCGATACACTGTCCGAGTAAGGTATACCAGCCTTGCTCCTTCTCGAAGTCGCCCGACGTAGGTGGTTAGAGGCTGGTCGTTACTTGCTCATCCGACTTGCCTGTCATGGCATATGATCGACTCCTGGAGGATGGTATGAAATGAACACTGCTTTGAGATGGAAGACTTCTATGTGCTCAGCGCTCTCCAGACCTGAGTTGATACGTACTATATGAATTTCATGGGTATCTGGCCTAGAGATTGAGCGAGAGACTGAATGTTATATACACTTGATATGCAAAACAGCAATCGAGGACATCATAAAGATCGCGCGCGCAGCAGCCCGTTATATGGACCCATTACCGCCTCACATTATCTTCCAGTCGCCCGACGCAGGGAAGGTGCTGGCTATGCTCGCTCACGCATCGCACCGTCTGCCTTCGCTCATCCCGGTCCATCATTCACCTGAACCATCATCGTCGTCCTCCACCAGCCTAACCTCCATACCCAACATGTGGTAAATTCCGAAAAAATCATTCATGCAAATTGGAAGGCTGCCTCGGCCACTTCAAGCCGAAATCCGCATCCTTCAAGCTCCACTTCCTCGCTTTATCATGTTCACTCACCGTGGCATCCACACTGCCCTTCCTCACACTCGAACTAATGCTCCCAATCCCCCGGGCACCCTGCCTCCCGAGACTGACCCTCCTCCCACCCTCTCCCACCACTCCAATCGGGATCGGCCCCAGCCCTCCCTGCGCACTCACACTCCCGTCCCTATTCAGCTCTTGAGCCACGGCATTAGATTCCTGCTTCGGCATCTTCAACCCGAAGTCCCCATGTACGAAACTCCAGCGCTTAGCTGGATCCCGCTCGGTGACCGTCTTATCCACGCTGCCCCTCCTCACCGTGCTACTGATACTCCCGATGCCCCTTGGCACCCGTCCCTGGCCGCCCTGCATGCTGACGCTGCCGTCTTTGTTGAGTTCTTGGGTGACTGCATTGGATTCTTGTTTGGGCACTTTCAGGCCGAAGTCGCCCATGGTGAAGGACCATTTCTTGGACGGGGAGGGTGGTGAGACGGTGCTGTCGATCCGGCCGCGGTAGGGGGACTCGGCTAGGGATTTACGGCGCGAGCCGTCGGTTGGATCTTGGGTCGCGGAGACGCCGAGATGCGAGACGTTGCCGTAAACGATACCTTTCTCTGCTGCTTTGAACTCCTTAGCTCTGTATTCGTCGTGGTGGTGCTCAGGCTTGTCTTCTTGATGATCGTGTTTTTCGTGCTCGGTCTTGTCTTTGTCATGGTGACGGTGGTGATGGTGCTCTGGGGCGGTTTCGTTGCGCGGTCCGACGTCTGAATCTCGTCTGACGTCGTCGTGAGTACCGAGACTGGTAGCTGCAATGATATTGCTCTGGTGCGCTGTCTTTGCGTCTGTGGTAGCTTTGTTGCTCTGCTTCAAGTCCAATGAGACTGCCGTTTCTGTGGGTGGCACAGGCTCGACCTCTTTCACATTTTGCTTGTGCTTTCCGATACCTATTTCTGCGAGGATGTTGGTGCGGTGAGCTGTCCTTGAACCTTTGGTGGCCTTGTCAACGTTCGCTGGGTCTGATGCTGAAGCAGCTTTACGGCGTGATGCGATTTGAGGATCTGTGGTGTTCTTGCCATGTTCGATGCTTGTACCTACAACAACGCTGGTGTGCCCCGCGGTGTTTTTATTTGTGGCAGTTTCGCGGCCAGCTCCAAGACCTGAGCTTCTGTTGGCTTCATCTTGCGGTCTCAGAGATGATCCAGTTGCTGCTTGATTGCGCTGTTCAGCGTGAGTGGCCCCTGGTACGGGACCAATATCTGCACCGGGTGAGGTCTTGGTGGGCTGCATGCGGTCTGGAGCAGACAGGACTTCGCTGCGCATTCCTGAAGATGTATCCGCGCGAGTTGGGTGACCAGGCGTCAGATCCAGCCCTGTTGCAGGCTCATGCTGTGATCCGAGAGCTGAAGCTGCTGAGATCTCCGTCTGCGATCCAAGGGCTGAGCTCGTGTTGACCTCGCCGTGGGTTCCAGAGCTCGGTGGAGAAGTGACCTGGTCATAAATCTTATGAAGCTCGTCCTTGGTGAATCCGATCTTGTCTGCCATCGTCACCACCTGCAATTTCCAATATAATGATAATCAAAATCCGAAAGTAAACATAGATGACTCAAGGCAGACTTGAGAGAAAGGAGTTGAGAGCAAACAGACCCGCCCCAGCAGGCGGCCACCGTCGGCTCTGAAGACTCTATGGTGAGTTTCGTACCTCAGACCCCTCCCCCGCAAAACGTCACCCATGTCGATTTGCTAGGGGTTCTAACCACGAGGTACCACACGGAGGTGTACTACGGTATGAGGCATAAGTATTGTTAGTTCACCTTAGTAATTTCGTCATTTAACACCCCTCTTACAGATACTCCTGCTGCACTTGTACAAACTCAACGCGTTCAGCTTCTTCGACTACTATTCTATCTCTTTCTACATGATTCGCCCAAATTCGATATATTTTTATGGATTCTATGGAATTCATCGGGCTATCTCCTAGGACTGCTCGAATCAATGCCAGCAAGATGTCAGGCAGTCATTGATGCTGATGGAATGCACACTCGATACTAAGCGGAATGACTAGTCCTAATCGGACGAATTTGTAGCATTCTGTCTTGGCATTTACAAGCTGTTACTGGAGCGAACTAACAATACTTATGCCTCATACCGTAGTACTTTACCCGCAGCCGGACTGTGCTAGCAATCCACTGCGGCGCCAAACTACTAATGGACTAAGTTTCCTTACGTAGTAAGTATGGCTTGGCTACAAGATATATCACGTGACTTTGGCTTGCTCGCCCCCTTGGTTTTACCCTCGCTCGATTTCTCCGAGGATTGGGCAAGGAGACATTATGTAAAGGTTTGATATGTATGGAAGACTTGATATACTCGTGTGCAATACGCACATAATATGTGATATGATGAAGGGGATGGGAAACGGCGTAAGAATACAGCCTTGGTAAGAGGATGGCACTGTCCTGCACACAAGTGGTAAGAGAAAAGGGACACATCAACCACTCCGCCAAAAGGACAGCGCCGCCGATGGGTTTCGGACCACACTTAATTCATGTACCCCTCATTGACTGGTAAGAGATCGAATATCCTTTCTTTTTCAGAAGCGCGTTCTTGTAGTATGCCTTGCTGCGCCTTGGGTTTGCTGCGCCTTCTGTTCATCATGACCCTAATGAACGAGCGAGGATCTTACCAATTCTGAGCCACAGACGTAACTTGTGAACGATCAGCAGGTTGAGAAGCACATATTCAAGTATGACAGTCTATATATGATTGAACAAAGATCCATTTACCTTATCATCAATCTGTCATTCATCTACCACCTAAGATATCATGACTATCACTCGAAACACTACCCGATGGAACTGCGAGGCCCTGATGGCGCTCGGAGCGTTCTACCTCACCATGTTCTTCGGCAACTACACCCTTATGAGCTTCAATTCGGGAAGGAAATCAAATCAGATTGCCTTATTGGATATTTGCATCGAGATGTTAAAAGACAATGTACGTCACAACAGTCAAGCTTCTTGATTTTTAGATCAAATGTTGTGCATGCATCGGCTTACCTAACCATATGGCGGGACAGTCGACTCTACCATTTGATGGAGCTGACAAGTGCTCCTTTTATCTGAAATCGCCCCAGATTTCTGATTCATTCCAGCTTCTGTTGGAATCACACTTTCCTCCATTGACTAGGTTCCCCGGAATGAAGAATTTCGTTTGCTGGATTGTCTTACTACATGTTCCCGCAACCCTCGTGCTCACTCTTTCGACCTCCTTAAAAGAATTCAAGTCTCGTCGCGCATTGTGGTCTGTATACCTGATAATCAGTCTGACACTTACGGTTTACTCCTTCTATCGGTTCCTGACATCGAATTACTGGGAACTCCATTTTGCGACAGCATATATGTGTCAGATCCTGGTGATACTGTTCACATTGCACATGGTATACCACAGAGAAGAAGTCCAGGACAGTCCTCCACTAAGCCGAGTCTTGTTCCGAGCTTTTTTCCCAAGTAATGGGGAAGATGGGGGTAATAGTGGAACCAATCCGTCCAGCACGCCCAAGGGGTCACCTGAGATCGTCACGGCTCTTCAAGATGAACCGATAGTCACCAGTACTGCAAAAGGGTATGATCCCGTGGATAGAATGGAACGAGGAGAACTGCGAGCAAAAGCAGCGACTTCGTGATGTGTCAGTTATGCAGTGCAAGATCATTGGATTGTTACAGCCGGAGTTTTAAGGAGGGTGGATCTCTCTGCTGATGTACTCACCAATAAATTCTCCTATTCTCGCAGATTTCCCTTTGAGACCACTACCATCCATCTCAATGTAATTTGCAATTTGCTCCCCACTGTCAAAATTCATATTGGAGACGTCCGAGAGCAGATGTAGGCTGCGTAATGCCTAGGCGAGGAGTGACAGACAAAATCAAATTAGTTTGAATAAGCTAGAGATATATACCAGATAGTTTGAGATGAAGCATAGTTCTTGCGGCCTAAATTTGGTCTATGCCGCAATACTAACGCACTACTCCTCATAGCATCACAAAGTCAAATCGGAGCCTGAGTCTACCTGTGGCCTATTGAATATGCCGCTGCGCAGCGTTCGGAAACAGCACAACCGTAGCAACCGTACCAATGGTACAGTGGTACGGAACAGCAGTTCTCGCCGTTCCAACGGTACAAAACCAGGTCTTCTGTACCGTAGCAACCGTACCAGTACCGAAATAGGTAGTAAATATAGATAGCTTGGTGTTGAGAATCAAGAGAGGAGAGGCGGGGGGGGGGGGCTGCCACCCCCTTTTT